TTTATTTTATTACGTTAAAATATGATTAGGTAAACGTAAATTAATAAAATTATACATTTTAAAAAATATTTGACAATATTTAGGTGTAAAAATGTCTCGCAGTAATTTTGTTTTTAGACGATGTATCTAAAACATTTTATACTGCGACTTTTAATGGTAAAACTGTGTAAATAATGATTATTTGTATTAACAATAACCACAAATGAATAAATTAAAACAATAAAAATACATAAAAAAGTTCATTTTACAAAATACAAACAAAACACAAATTATACCAAAATACATTAAATCTCAACAATATTAACTTTAAATACATAACAAGTCTAATACAGCTTTTGACAGTACACCTTTTTTTTTAACAGGTAACTTTCGTAGACCTGTTATGAAGGGATCTGAATGAAGAAGCAGCCTATTTACTAAATCTGTGTTGATCACAATGCGACTCATTTTACGCGTATGATTTTTTCTAAAAGACTTGATGTATTTGTTAGTCGCTTCAGCTGCTTCTTCAGACAACTCTCCGATTGACAACAAACCGTAATCTATAACATTAGCACCATGAATTAGAACTTTGTTCCGTTCGAAGCAGGCATGTTATACCACGGATACTCGGCAACTAACTGCCGAGCCGTCTCTAAAGCGAACTCTTCGAAGTTCGTCTTATTAATATTATATCCCGAATTTAAACATTGAAGGATGATCCAGCAACGATCTAGGAGATCCTTCTTGATCCCAGTAATTTCAGCGGAAATTTCTGAATTCGAGAAAAACCGCCTGGCTGTATTACCATCGTTTGATGTTCCGCTTCCGCCACTTTTAGGCTTATCCACTATAAGCCCTAATCTTTCTCTAAATTGAGTCTGAACATATGATTTTTTTGCAGCAACAAGCATTTTGTCATTAGCGGACCTAGCTTGCCATTTCCTAACATCTAACTTGTACGCGACATGAACAAAATATTCAAAAAAACGTATTAACGCGTGAAGAGGTGATAAACCAAATTCATATTTACTCTCATCGACTTCCTTATTTAAACATTCGTCAATTTTGTTCATTTCACTGGGCAAGGCGTTACAAATAAAACATTTTGATGAAGAAACACCACTAAGTGCATTACACACTTTACCATCTACCATAGTAAGTTGCAAACAATGAGTAATGCGATATTCGCGATCTTCTTCCTTGAAAACAGTAGGCTGCAAGTTCCTTATTTTATCTTTAAAATGAGCTTCTTCCTCAACTGACACTGCAGTCGATTCCTTCAAATATCGGAGGCGTATAGGACGACAGTATCGAGTTGATGAAGGACGAGGATTTTTCCACAAAACTACTGAATTTTCTTTGTTATCTGTTGTCAAAACAAGCTGAAGTGGCACATACGAAGTAACAAACAGGCTACTGTCTTCAAGAGTGGAGTCAGAAAAACACTGTTTATATTCTGAATGCCCTGTACTGCCATCGAAACCCCATTTCCCTATCAAAGATATCTTATCTAGAGACTCATTAGGTACACTATCCAAAACATCTTTTTGAGACTTGAGAATCCGATTGGCAGTATGATCTAATAAACTTTGAAGTTCGACTTCGGCGGATGATTCTGTAACAGTAATATCTGAAGGATAACAGTGTTTTTTAGATTCCACGACACTTTGGTAAGATGGGAAAATGGTTTTTGAAAACTTATTGTCTATAAATTTCTTTACTAATATATATTGATGTCGAGTTAACTGAGCTTCAACAATGAGCGATAAAACTTCGCTAGAATCGATTTCAGGACAAGACAAGCTATCGGACGCATTGAGCAATGACTGTACAAGAGAAGGGTCTTGGTTAGACAAACTAGCCAATCTTCTCCTTTTTGTACGTTTACTGGTGTCGTCAAAGTTAATTCTCGGACGGCCATGCGATGAAGAAGTTGATGGTTTAACTTCGTCAAAGCTCTGAGATACACGTAACTCAGTTCGCTGTACATCAATATTTTCAACGACATGCAGCCAATCTGAATATTTTTCTAAGAATTTAGATCTAGTACGATTCGACTTTGCCCAGTAGTGGGAAATTCGTTTACAAATATTCTTAATTTTAAGGCTTAAAGTCTCTAAATCAATATTTTCGATGTCGTCAGAAAGGGATGATGTTTCGGTCAAAGTGCTCAGGACGTGTTGCATTTTTTCATTTGGATTACCCACTTTAGAGTGCCAAATATCAAAAATTGTCATCCTCGATACAGAACATTTGAAAAATGTACCTAAAACAATATGAAAGCTGAACTTAAAAAAAAATTAAAAATTCAATACTATGGACATGCATACTTTGACACCCCTTTAAGCCAAGAAGAGGCAGCAAGATGCAAATGAAACTTATAGCTCTTAATAAGGACATACTCCTTATTCAAAAACCATATACCTCAGGTGCAGCTCAGCGCAGCCAAAAGTTGTAGGTCTAAAGGAAATTAAGTTATGCCAAAAATTTTCACCAAAAAACTGCCTTCAATAAAAAAATTATATAAAAAAAAAGTATGCATAAAAAAATTAAAAAAAATTGATAATAAAAGTACATACCATGCTCTTGGATCTCCATGCTTTCACAACACGTAAACACTTGATTTGGAATAGTGACACTCAAAAACAAAGTGATTAAGTTTCGATGACTCACACGTGGTGATAATTAGTCTCGCGATGCGCTCACTTCCGATGCACAAAAGTGAATGATAACGTGACCTAATTACATTGATATTTATAGTTTTTGGAAGCTTGTTAACTAGTTACTAACTTAGTGAGTTGATCTAACCGGGATAAGCCAATGATTTTTTTTGATTTATGGCCTATGGGGGAATCACAGTGCGGCGCGGGAAAAGATCTCACCTTGAGTGACGTGCTTCCCGCGCAGTGGCCTCGCTCGCGGCCGCGAATTGTCGGACAGCGTCGGCAGAGTTCGGGTGTCTTCGTCACTCGTCGTTTGCAGTTTCGGCCTCGCTCGCCCGGCCTCGGTCTTATCCATTTTAATTGGTCCGCGATTCGCTTTTATTTTTTATCTAATTCAATTTGCCCGGCGCGATGAAAGCATTGTTTTCTTTCTCTCTTTTTATTATGTAAAATGCGTAATTCGTAGTGGTTGCCAGATTTCGTGTCAATAATTTATATTGAAACTTTCTTGCTCTAAAAATTACAACAAGAATTTTCAGGGATATCAGTTTAATAAGGATATTATAATATTATAGCACTTTTAAAGCTTTTTGCGCGCTTAGAGAGTGCTCAGCCTGTTATTCAAATAAGATAATTTACCAAGAGACGCTAGCGCAGCTTTCCTACAGTGTACAGAGCTATCTGACAATAAAATGTTATTAATTGTCCCCATCAATGTAAGCACTGCTAATTGACCGCATATTTCGAGATAAAAGACTATGAGGTCTTTCTTTTTTGAGATATTGCAGAAGAAAATGTTAAGTACGAAACTAATTCTTTAAACTGCCTCCGTGGCCGAACGGTTACCATGCCGGACTGCCACGCGGAGGTCCCAGGTTCGATTCCCGGGCCGGGAGAAATGTTTGTATGGCCTACATTTATTTCTCTCGTGAGTTTGGGTGTAATTTGTGGTTGTCTATGTGTGTGTCCATGGCACCCGCGACACAGGGTTTCCCTAGTGCGGGGCTATGTTGAGTGTGTGCGTTATTTATTTATTTATTTATTTATTATTTTAATAACGCTTCTAACTATGGTTTTATATACTTTATACTTATTACTTGGTGTAGAATTGTAATGATTTGTGTTATTGAAAAAGATTTACACAAATGAAAATTTAAAAAAGTCAACCCACATAATAGTATCTACTTATACAAACTGTCATTTATTTGAACATGTATTTAAATGTCGCGATCTTATAATTTTCAACGGAGGATTTCGATACTTTGATTCTAAGGCTAACCGTACACTTGACAATATAGAATTTGGATCGTTCTTGTCGCAAAGATATCCAATATCCGAAATAAGACAGAAGATATCCATAATATTAACCTTAGAACTAAGTCCAAACTTATGGTACCACGTTTTCGTTTAACTAAGGTAAACGATTATTTTATGAGGAACTGTATACGTTTTTACAATAAGATTCCGGAGCATATATTAAGTTTACCATTTCCTAGTTTAAAACTTACATTAAAAATATTTTAATTGAAAAGTCATATTACAAAATTGTAGACTACGTGTTAGATAAAGATGTATGGAAAGACAACTAGAGTCTAAATTCCACACAAATATGATTCAAAATGTATTCTATAGCATTTAAGTTTATTTGAAAAGAGCAATCCCTAGAGTTTCTTGCTCGTTCTTCTCAGGGAGGTCAGCGTAGTGAACGAGCAGTAGCTTAAAAAATGAAGTTTTCAAGTGTAAAATTTTACCTATGGAATAAATAATTATTTGACTTTGACATTGCAAGAGCTAAGAATAAGAATAAGATAGATACTGTAGATTTGATTTATATCTTAAGTAATTTTTAAGTTTATTGAATATCACGATGTTTTACTACCATGATATTCAATTATGTTTTGTGAAATTACTCTATTAATTTGTTATAATTATTATAACAAAGATCGAAAAATCTTAAGTGTCAAGTTTGAAGTGTTCTTGACCATGTATAATGTTCCACGGTTTATTACTTGGACCATGTTGTATTTTCGCAAACTTTCTTCTCTTCCCCTATGTTCGGTTTACCAAAGTGTTAGCCGTATGTTCCGTTTGTCGCTACCAATGTATGCCCGTATATTATATTTAATTCCAATTGAACTGTTTTTTAATGATGAAATGAAGTTAACACTGCGATTTAGAAAGTTTTAAGGTTTCAGTTGCCGAGTTGCTCGTTATTAAAAAAGGAGATAGAAGTTTTATACAAGATGTATTTGTACCCTGAAAAAATACCAAAAATATAAGATCTAACTGACCCAATTCAGTATAAAACAATGATAAAACGAAAATAATACTTGGGTTCACGCGCGCACACCGCCCGCGCCTAGTTCAGTGACTCGAAGCCCGCGCTGCCAAACGGTCGCGCGCTCGCGGTGTGCCACCTTAACATTTCGAACGCTCGCGTTCTAAGTTCGAAAGCTGACAGTGACAGGAGTGTTGTGTTTTGAAGGAATTTTGGAAACTTATTTTCTTTTTTTTTGGAAGTGTGCATTTTGTGGACGGATTTGTGTTTTGGATTGCGATTTGGAATTGGTGAGTGTTCAAATTTCGAATTATCAAGTGGTGGTTCGTTTCAAATTGAAGTTCAAAGTTTATTTGGAAGTCAGATCATATGTTTGGGAACGCAAAATTGGTGATCTCAATTCTAAAAGTGACACAAATAATGTAAGAAAATTTGCATTTTAGACAAAAAGTAACGATACGTCTGCAATATAGAGTCAGCATTTTGTAATAACAAATAATTACTCATAATTCTGGTTGCCAAATTAACTCTAGATATCTTTATATTTGTTGAATTACTATATTTTACAATCAAAAAACCAACTTAAGGTCACCTCAAGGCAAAATATTTCGGCTTCATTCAAAAGACATCAACGTGGTAACATTAAAATCGTTATTATAAAAAAAATATTTTGAAATAATAAATAGCGTCGGTTATATAACGTTGAGTATATAACTGTACTTACGCGAACCTATGCAAGTTGTTAGAATGTCTTTCACTTTCTCCTAAAGAAATGTTTAGATGTTATTTTAAGGTTTACTTGGTTTTAATTAACAATTCTTATATATTGCTAATTTAAAGTATACATTTTTAAAATTTTTCAATACTAATGTAAATAAATAATGAAGTGGAAATGAATAAGCAAATAACGCAGTTAAAAACGAGTAATTACTCACACAATATTCAAATGTGTAAATTCAAAGAAAATAATTGCAACTTTTTATTTAAAAAAAAAAACTAACCTCAAAAGTTTGTGAATTACATCTATTTGCCAAGTTTTATTGAAATAGGTTACCGGAAAGTGCGCTAAACCGGATTCATCCCCTAGTTTACTACCCTTAGAGATGGATGGATACCCTCTTTCCAACAAAAAAAAAGAATTATCAAAGTCGGTCCAAATGCCGGAATAATTGCGTGACACACATAGAAAAATAAAATACAGACAAATTAAGAACCTCCATTTTTTTTGAAGTCGTTTAATAAATGGCATAAAGACAAATACTTATCTAACAAAACTTATTTACTCACTAACACTGTTAAGATTCAAGTGAAACGTATTACACAGAAAAATGTAGGATTTCTTTATGTATTTATTGTACGTCCGCATTTCCTCGACTAGCAGCTTTGATGTGGTCGTCTAAAGAACAGGAAGCGACTGGTAATTGCAATAATTATAAGCGACAACTACAATAACTCATTACGACGAAGGTAAAACTTTGCTACGAGGAAAAGACGCAATGATTATTCATTGAAAGTTGAATAACGAATGTAATGAAATTGCGATAGGCATTGGGAATGTCCAAACTAATATAATAAACATGAAAGTAACTCTGTTTGTCTGTTATATTTTCACGCGTAAACAACAGAACCAATTTTGATGAAGTTACATATAGACATAGATTGGGAGCTAGGCGAAGCACACTGGCTACTTAATGTCACAAAAATAAAGGGGGTGAAATAGGGGACTACAGTTTGTGTAGAAAATTAATAAAACTACGAAAATTAGTATAGCACAGTAGGTCTCGAAGTAAGTACAGGTTTAGTAACAGTAGAGTTGCTTGTGAAAGACCTTACTTATTTCTGACGTCAAACAGTAATGTCAGCATTGCTATGTTCCGGTTTTGAAGAGTAAAGGTGATGGTGAAATTACAGGCACATGTGACAATGCCCCTCAGGTCTTTGCGATGTAAAGCTCTAAGAGGCGCTGGAACTGTTATGGACAGGCGTATAGCTTACCATCCGGCGCACTTGTTCGCCGCACCAATCACTTGATATTATAATAAGAAAAGGTACTAAATTTACGGAGACGAAGCCGCGAGCAGCAGCTTGTTATTATATATTTCCAGGAAATAAATACATAATCCCCAGGAACTTTTTTTATCCAAACTCACAGACCTCCAAGACAACACACGTTTTAGACGTCGAATACATCAAAGTGACTTTATGGTAATTTATGGTGCGCATACCTCACTTTTTTTAGCTCTTGGTGTTTCAGCCACTGACAAGGTGTAACTTATTGTTTAGTAAGAACTTACGGTAATAAAAATAAGTTATTTTTCTTATTAGGATTCTGATAAGTGCCTTAATGAAATGAAAAACATTTTCCATTGAAGCCTAAGAAATTATTCAACTTAGTAGTAGGCTTTAGTAAGTATACTGCAATAGTAAGTTGAATAAATAAGTTCTTAGGCATGACTTGCCGTTGGGAATCGTATTGTGTGGTGTAAATATACAAGGGACCAGAAGTTACATTGTGTAGACATATTTCTTGTTATTTAAATTCTTAGATTTTATTATGTGCACTTGAATATAGATTTAGCTAACTAGGGGAGCTTATTTTTGTACGCCGTAGCTTGTTGCATGTGATTATGCAATGAGCTATGACGTACGTGTAAGTACGTCTGCTGTGACGAAATCCTGTTTCATTTACAAACCGTGGTAGCCTGTCTTGTATTGTATTCGACTGTACGTACTATATGAGCCAACATTGTATATATATATGTTTATACAGCGTGATGTTTTAAAAAAGAGAAGCGTTAGAAAATTTGTCATTACGACGTCGGCGATGAGTAACACGTTTTTTTTATTAGACCTTGAGGAATTATCATACAATTACGCAGTTATATATACATTTTCACACACGTGTTTACGGTCGCGCTTTTCTATCAACAAACACAAGAGTCGTCCAGGAAAGTACTGCTACCTTAACTATTTTTGCCACTAAGCAGATTATTACGTTCGGTCGCGAAAGATATTGGTGAAATGGGACTTGCCAACTTATGTCTCAGGGTGACGGGCGGGCGGCAGTGTCTCTTAGATCTTTGCGATTTAAAGCTCTGAGTGGCACTGCAACTATTATGAACAGGTGTGTCGGTTAACACCAGGCGCACAACTTGTTCGTCCGATCACTTGGCATCATAAAAAAATCTTCAAATATGTTATTTAATGCACTATAGTAATAAATTAAACTATAGTAACGATATATAATACATAAGATAATACAGAATTCGGTTTGTACTGAAGTGTATGTCCACGACATCAACGCCAACGCCATAGAACTTTATTCTATACTTCAAATCTAATCATTTTTGTTTTTCGGTTTTTGTTAATTTATAAATGGAGACAAATTGTCTCCATAGACGAAACTCTTACACAAATAATCTTTGGATGAATGAATGATAAGTTTATTACGTAGGACTAGAATACAGAGTTTTGTTACTGTTATTTACATTGTGAGAGTCTGGTGTCAGTACTAGGGTTAAATTTATTTCATAGATCAACAAATTGCATTAGAAATCGGCACATTCATCACAGTCTACGACTCATTTGTAAAGCAGATTCCCCTGAAGAATGAGAAAGAAATAAACATTTGTTACAATATTTATTTGTCCCACCCGTTCAACATTTGTTTTTTATATACCAGGTGACAGGATGAACAAGTCGTGTGCCTGGTATAAGCGACACGCCTGTCCATAACAGTTGCAGTGCCGTTCAGAGCTTTAAATCGCAAAGATCTGAGGGGCTGCACTGCCGCTACACCCAGCGCCCTAAGTCGTAATTTCAGCAGCATTTTTACTCTTCGAAACCGGGACGCAGTAACGCTCACATTATTACTTGGCGGCAGAAATCAGTATGGCGTCCACTGTAGAGCGCAAGTCTCTTCTGTGTATTGGGATTAAGTTAAGTTTCCCAAAGGTTGTGAACCTTCTTCAACGTTCTGGTTTCATCATGATGATTTCCTTACACATTATCTAAGAAAATTACAATGAGAAACGACCGCTTAATTAATAAATAATAAATTAAACTATTTTGTAGTCATTATCTTAAACAATTTGCGAAGGCAAGTAAACACTTTGTTTTTTGTTTACAAATGGATTTTACATTTTAAACAATTTTCATTACCGTTTCATGTCTAATGGTACAAAACATCGAGTGTTTGTTTCATATGCGAGATAGTGAACGTCTTACTTGATAAAAAAGTACAGTATACTTATTGCTTTATGTAACTTCATGTAACAAAGAAAAATGAGCGCTTTATCATCACCTAACCTCTCTACTAGTTTAAAATGTAGATTAATTTGTGATTTAGAACGTAAAGATTTTTAATTTATTATCCTTGATTTTTATTTGTAGAGCAGTGGTAGCCCAGTGGCAGAACGGTTGCTTCTCAATTGAGATATTCGCGGTTCGAATCCGAGACGTGTACCTATGACTTTAAGTTCCATGTTACGTGTATTTGTGATTGTTTGGTAGGAATACCTGCCGCTGACGATGATCTTTGCAAAACGTATCCCAAACCCGCATTGGTCCTTAGAAATGACCCTAATGAGAATGATAATGTGTTAGTGATGAGTTCATGAGCTATTATTAGTTTTAAAGTTCAATGGTAGGACTAGGCATTGAAGTGATTACGAATTTCCAGGCGCAGGCGCATTATTCGGGTATGAGTTAATATCATAACCATACCTCCAATGAACAGTACGCCAATTTAATTTTTTGGTCATTTGCTGTTTTTGATGTAAATAGCTTTATTTTATTTACTAATACTATCATCCCACAACTTTGCGAAAAAAATAAAGAAATAAAAAACAAAATTCGAAAAAAATAAAATTAACTATAGTAGGAGGGGGAGTAGAGGGTGGTAGAGACTTGCTCGGCTAGCTGGTGCCCCATTACTACGTCCAGGAATCAAACGACGGAATTCGGTGAAGAAGACTTGAGTTATTGTACAGAAGCTTACAATACACATGTGTCCAATAAAAGGGATGCAAGGGCGGCGCGCTCACCCAGAGTTGTTCTCGTAATCTGTTCCGAAAGATAGGCGCGAGTTCGAGATGTTTACTTAGCAATAAGAATAACCGTAGAAATGCAATCGTTGAATCGACCAATTTCATACAAAATACTAGTTACAGGTCATTAGGGAAAATCTTAACATCGCGATTCAGAAATTGCGTTTATATGCCAATGCCATCTAGCGGTAAACTTGGGAACTCTTCAAACTAATGTTGCTAAATTTATTGTGTTACAAAAC